TTTTTTTTTTTTTTTGTTTGCTTAATTTTTTTTTTCTTCCTGCCTCCATGTGGAAGAAGTAAGCTTCAGACTATTAAGCTGTCTTCTGGGACTTTGGAGGGGAATGGGCAGGGGGGGAGAAGGCGGCGCGCATTTAAAGTAACAGTATTTCTTTTGGGGCATGTGTATAGTTTGTAGTACTAGGAGGCAAGAACAAAGGTTTCTTCTGGAGATCTGCCTTCGAGTATGAAATAGATGTCTTGTGTATATTTAATGAAATGTAATCGTGTTTGTTCAAAAATATTCTTGTTGCTAATTCTTTTCTTTGTTTGCTCCGCAGGTATATCCCGGCTGGCCGAATAAATGAAGATTTCAGCGCAGGTCCACCTGGAACCCTAATCCCTTCTTTTTACCCACTCCCCTCCCAGTCCTTTTAATTTATTTTTTGGGAGTTATAATTTTTTATTGCTTTAATTAATATTATTTTCCAAGATGATGACCCAAACGTGGAGGTCTCTTCCTTTCCATTTATGGACTGTCTTGTTTTTGGGGGCCTCCTGGATTCTTCCTGGGAATGGTTCTACCAAGCCGTTTAGAACTTTTACGGGCAGCGAATGGAGCTTGACTCATCTGGTGGTGCATAATAAAACCGGGGAGGTGTACTTGGGGGCCGTGAACAGGATTTTCAAACTGTCGAGCAACCTGACCCTCTTGCGCGTCCATGTTACGGGTCCTATTGAGGACAACGAAAAGTGTTACCCTCCTCCGAGCGTCCAGTCTTGCCAGCATGGACTGGTCACCACTAATAATGTCAACAAACTGTTGCTAGTGGACTACACTTTGGACCGGTTAATAGCCTGCGGCAGTGCCTCTCAAGGGATCTGCCAGTTCCTGCGTATCGGGGACCTCTTCAAGTTGGGAGAGCCTCACCACCGTAAGGAACACTACCTCTCCAGTATTAATGAATCTGGCACCATGTCTGGAATCATTATTGAGGCTCCGAATGGGCAGAACAAACTTTTTGTTGGGACACCTATAGATGGAAAGTCTGAATATTTTCCTACTCTCTCAAGTCGGAAACTTTTGCCCAGCGAGGAGAACGCTGAAATGTTTGGCTTTGTCTATCAGGATGAGTTTGTATCCTCACAACTTAAGATCCCCTCGGACACGCTGTCCAAATTTCCAACCTTTGACATATACTACGTGTACAGTTTCAGAAGCGAGCAGTTTGTCTACTACCTGACCCTACAGTTAGACACACAGTTGACCTCTCCCGATTCTACCGGAGAGCAGTTCTTCACATCTAAAATCGTCCGACTTTGCGTCGAAGACCCCAAATTCTACTCTTACGTGGAGTTCCCCATTGGATGCATGAAAGATGGTGTGGAATATCGTCTCATACAGGATGCTTACCTGAGCAAACCCGGGAAACGCCTGGCTAAAGAGTTGGGGATCTCCGAGAGGGAAGACATTCTTTTCACGGTCTTCGCGCAGGGCCAGAAAAATCGAATCAAGCCACCGAAGGAGTCTGTTCTCTGTCTCTTCACCTTGAAGAAGATCAAGGATAAAATTAAGGAACGTATTCAGTCCTGCTATCGGGGCGAAGGAAAACTGTCTCTGCCCTGGCTCTTAAACAAGGAGCTGGGTTGCATCAACTCGGTAAGTCCGTAAACTGCCAAATATGAATTTTTAGAGTGAGCTTTTGTTAGCAGTAGGTTTAATTTTCCATTTTTGGGAGTTTTCAGACGGTAGAAGTAGCCCTACGCAGGCGCTTTTGATCTTTCCCTTTTAGAAAGCGAGCGCTTTTGACAAATTGCTGATGTGACAACATGTGCGGAAAGGAGCATCTCACGCATTAAAGATGTTTAAATATATCCATGCTGTGGTTGTCCTTCCTTTGTCCCAAGATAGTGTTTGGTTTATGTGATAGTATGAATGCTCTTTTCCAGAAATGATCGTTTTGAGGGCAGATGAGTGGCTGAAAATCTCAAGCCCAGCGCTTTTTTGTATTTTGCTCTGTGGTTTACTGCAGTTTTTTTTTTCTTGTTTTGAATGTTTCTCCGATTTTATGTAGAGCTATTTATTTTGTGTGGTGATATGACTTGGTGCTATTGGGATCTCTGTGGAGATGTCTGCTATAACCAGAGCGTGGTTTTGTGTTGTGTTCCATGACAATGTAGTGAACCCTTCTGCTCAAGGACAGAGAGAAATGCTTTAGAAGCGCAGAAAAGAAAAAAAATGCAATTTATTTAGCAGAATTTGTAGTCTAGTCTAGCTTGACCTGGAATGTCCTCTAAAACCTTGGTTCTCAACTGATGGGTCGCCAACCTGTGTTCAGTGGAGAGTCCATGGTCCCATCGCACTCCTGACCGCAAGATACCTTTAAAGAAGTGGGTGCTACGGTAGTCGATGGGTGGCGACCGTCACAACTATAAGTAAAGGCAGAGACACCGGCATTCCAGAGTGAAAAGCAAACCGTCTGTTTATTGACGTGCACCATAACAGGTATTGCAACAAACGTTTCAGGGTCGCACAGGATCCCCTTCCTTAGGCAACAGCATGTATGCCGTTGCCTGAGGAAAGGGCAACAGCGTGGCCCGGGCAAACGTTATGGCAAATGATTTATCAGATGGGTCCAAAATCCATTTCTGATCACTGTTGTCCCACTGGAGATGAGCCAGAGCTTTCTATCCGCATACCTCACTTTTTCTTCCCATGGGCATAAACAGCAGTTGAAGTAATGCTTTATGTCTTACCCAGTTGGAGTTTGTATGTTCTGCTGGTTTTGTGTGTCTTTGGGTTCCTTTACACTTGGCATTTGGTGGTGGGAGTGCCCAAAACTTCAGTTTGTTGAGTCCTCCCTGACCACTACGGTAAAGAAACCATATGAAACCCATAAATGTCACCATTGCCCACTTGGCAGTACCGTTTTCTTAGAGTCTAAAGGACTGAATAAGCCAACAGGGCTGATCTGATAGTAAAGGGTGTTTGCCAAAATTAGAAGGGGCTCAGACTGACAGTGTGAATCATTATATGACAGTTTTTCTGGGCTCAAAAGTGAGAAATAGGTGATCTAGAATTCATTATCCGATCAGTTGAGACTAAGAGCCAGGGGAAACCTGTACTGCGGGTAATCTGTAGGAGGCCATTGCTGACCACCTGAATATGTAATACTTTTGGACAGGGCTGGACTAATCCCAGGAGCCAGGTAGCCCATTACAGCTGGAGTCTAACTTTTGAGGTTTTCTATAGTTGTGGTCAATGGAGCTGGCTACCAAAAAAAAAATCCTCCTGGCTCCTGAATTACATATTAATTTGTCAACCCCTGATCTTTTGGTCTTGCAGACCTGGAACATGTATGTAGCTCAGGAACGTTGGGATAAAGTCGCAACTCCTAATCTGTTCCAGGGCAGCAGCGTAGAGAACACTAAGGCCCCTTTCACATGAGCGGTCCGATTGGGTCGGTCAGTCAGTTTTTCCGCTAGACCCTTGATCAGATGCCCAGTGCAAGTCTATGGGACGCGCGTATAAACGGGCGAATATCTGTTTACACCTGGTTAGCCCTAGGTCCAGTAAAACATACGGATCAGAGATCAGTTTCGACGGACTGGGGGTAATCTGTTGTAAATGAACACATGTCCATTTACATCAGATTCCCAATAGACACACGTGGGGCCCAGAATTTTAAGTTTTTTTCCTCCGTCGTTAGATGGATCCCAATCCATACTGCTCTAATCGGGAGAGGATCTGTTGACGGATCCTCTCCTGATCAGCCCCTGTGAAAGGAGCCTAAAGCCACTGGCACATCATGACAGCCAGGAAGCAGCTTTGGTAGGAGAGATCAGCTAGCTATAGCAGCCTCCATATATCCTCAGTCTAGTTTTCCATTGGCTTCCATTGATAACAGTAGAAAATGCCGGAAAAAGTTAAGCTTCAGCTGTAATTTTTTCGATCATTGACCTGTCTCCTAGAATTATGTTCTGTTATTGGCACTTGAACCTGCTTTCAAGCTGCCGTTTAGGTGATCAGAAACTGTAAAGAGTAATAATAACAATAGTTATCTCTCCTATAATGGCGATCTTCTCTTCTGATTGTTTTCCAACCGACCTCGTGCGGAAAAAGCTTGCCGAGGAATGTAAGAAATTGCCTGTAAATTGCTTCCCTTTCCTATAATTTTTTTTTAGGCGTAGTGCTGAGATTTCCGACTTATTTGTTTTTTCGGTGATTTGCAGCCCAGGTTAATTCGCAGACGGGACTTATCAGGAGCGATAATCTTTTTGCAGATCAGAGTAATAACATACTTCAGAGAAGCTCGCGTTTACAGCCGTGGATTAGAGCGAGAGGACGGATCACTCAGTCAATGAGAGAGCGTAATATTTAGCCGCATTTCCCTCTGTAGCATGCAATCATCCCTATGTATATCTCTCAAGAGGACAGGGCGCTCTCTACGGGGTCTTCACCTGTCGTCTCTACAATCTGCCCAACGAGGGGAATACTTTTATTATCTGTTGATGTGTTTGGTCGTGTTGACCAATTCTATTATTACGCTCTTGAGGCTTTATCTGGATAATTAACTGTATTCACCGGGGAAAAATGTTACTGGCTCTTATCGTTAAATCGCAACAACATACATTGGCGTCCTTGTTTTGCACTGTGAAGGATACTTTAACGTTATCTGCAAACGTTGGCCTTGTTTTTCAAGTTCACCCAAACAGGACTTGCCACAGCTCACGACGGCCTTGGGAGCAGAGCAGCGCGTGGTGGGAAAACTCGAGGGACCATATTTCTTTTTTTCTGCTTAAGAAACCTCAGATTCTGAGCAGATACGAAGTTATATTATGGGGTAGTCTATCCATAGGCATAAAGGAGCCCATAGACTCGGGGTGGACCAATAAATATGGCATTCAGGAGCCCGCAGGATTTCTTTTTGGAGCCAGGTCCATTGACAACTGAGAGAACCTCAAATGTTTGGCGCCAGCTGTAATTTTTGAGGCGCATTGGCGACCTGGCTCCTAGGATTATTACACCCCTACGGTAGACCAGTGGTGTTCAACTTTCAGTACGTAGTGGACCTTCTGACATCGCCAAAGGGCCACACTTATTATTGAGTGTACAATTTAGGCCATGATTGGGTGAAACGTGTCAGAAAGTGTTGGCCCTTGGGCGGGAGTCGGGACACAGTGATGCTTTCTGATGTTCAGTAGACTGTCCCAGCGTGACATGGCGTTCGGCTGGACTTTTTTTGTTTGGCTAGATTCAGTATATGTAGTTACAATTGCAACTGCTGACAT